GGGGGTCGCTGTGCAATGAAGTTTGACAAGCCCTGCCATAGATCTTGAAGCTGGGTCCACAGGGTTCCCACTCAGCTGTTAGCCTCCGCATTCACACCCAGCAGCTTGCTACTAATCAACCAAGCAGGAGAGACCATGTAACCTGAAGTAACATCAGGAAGGGCTTCCCTGGGCCTGATTGGAGGAACACCATGAAGTCTGATTGGTCAGGGCTTCCTATTTAAACCCCATGAGAATCTGCCCAAATGGGTTTCACTGGGTTGCTACATTGGACCCTGCTTTCCTCTCTGATGCCTGAACCCTGCCATGCTCCTCGTCCTTGCCCCGGTCTCTGAATCTGGCTCTGACCCTTGCACTGACTCCTGACTATGACTCTGGCTCCAACCACTACCCCTGTTCACCTATGTCCCAACCCTGACACATTGTAATTAAATTACTTACCACTTTAGTGCTCAGTGATCTTGTGGACTCAAGTAGATGTCCAGTACCCTTCACTCCCTCTATTTTGGCAAGGGCTTGAGTAGAAGTCAATGTGTTATCCATGGAAAATCCAGTACTTTGTCCCTGACAAGTGTATACATCCTTCAAATGAAGGATGGAAAACGGCCTTGTACTGACAGCAGCATGACATTTATATTAAAATTGCGCGAGCCTACTCTGACCAAGAATGTGGGGAATAAAAAGCAATATTTTGTATAAATGTATTTGACAGTAAAGTATTAATTGATGCTGGTAGCAATTGCCAATTGCCTGAGAGACACTGCACATAATCAGTTGCCACTAAAATGTTGACTGTATCGCAAGGTTGTGAAGTGAAATCATAAATTACACTATTCTGAGAAAATGACATGAACATTTTGAACCTAAAAAATGTTAGCCTATACACAAAGGGCCAGATTCTGAGCTCATTTCTGCTAGGGGAAACCCAGAGTAATGCCATACTATTTTTTTTTTTTCATTTAGAAACTAACTTTAAGGGAATACGGGTACTGTTAAGATGAGAAAAAAAGTAAATAAGGTATTTCAAAGAAAATGATAGCACTACCTTAGAGTATTAAAACTGAATGCATTTTAAACGTTAGATTAAAAATGAGAATGCATTTTAAAAATGGGCCTGATTCTTTCATTCTTTCAATTTCACCCAGATGTTGGCTCCTGTTCTGACTACTTGACACCACGGAGGATTCCCCATTATGTGAAGGGAATCTCCAGGTGGCATAGAGCAGCCATAAACTCTATGCTACTCCTCTCCTAGCCTCTGGCCTAGGGGATGTTTCCAGGGGAAGAGGGCCTGGCTAGAATGCCTCTATACACTAGCTATCCCACACTGCTGGCATGAACCCCTTGGGGCCATGGGCAGCCAGACATAAATTAAAAAACGCTTTTAGGCTGTTCTAGCTTATGCCAGCGATTGTACTCTTCCCCAGACAGCTCCAGGAGCCAGGGGTCACAAAGGCATCATAAAGTTTTCTCTGCCTGCCCTCAGCTTCCCCAATCTGATCTTGTGCCAAGCACAGGTTGGCTGAACCAAAGAATTTGGACCTTGCACAGTCACTTTATAATGGTGTAAACTGCATTGAAAATGGGTGTAAAACATGACCATTCTGCTTTGTTAGCATTTTATACCTATTTTGCACTCACTAGCCACAATTATAAATAGCTACACGATGCAGAGGAGAATCAAGCCTTTTGGTTACTTTTTTGCATTTCTTTAAGCTTAAAGAGTGAAACTAGGGTGGTCTACTTAGTTGCCCTTTCTATTTGCAGATAATATCACTTCCTGATTCTCATGCATTGGCACCTTTCTATTAAGCAGTTGGCTTTGGATTTCTGCCATTGTAGGGTGCTGTTGAAATAAAAACAAAACAAACAAACGATAAATACCTGTTTTCCCTGAGAAAAATGATACTAATGAAAATGTTTCTTGCCATTAGGTTTTGACTAATTTTTTAAATAAAACATTATATATGTTACTTAACAATGTTCCTTTCATACTGAAGCATGTGTGATATCATTCATGTAACAATATTTCCAAGTAAACAGTTATTTATAAAGTAATTCCAAGCAATCACTATTATTAGGATCCACACAGGCAGAGGTCAAGTTCCAGCCAGAAGGTGAAGAGAGATTTTTATTGTGGTGGATGCAGGGATGTGCAGGATTGGAGGAAAATATATAGCAATTATTAGCACAATCAAACCACATACACTTACCCATTACTTAAAGACACGATAACATGCACAAATTTATACTTGCTAATCTGGCACTGAATAAAAACATGCATTAGCCCAGAATCTCTGTCTGTGCAACTCCATCCAGCTGCAATTGGGCTGATGTGAGAAGAGAGTATGAAATGGCATCAGGTCACCAATTTCCAGCCATTTGCATTCCCAGCACTGGGGCAGGAGATGGGGGAAATCTGGTGGTGGACACACATCCTGACAAGTATCCTTGAATGTCAATTCCTACACTCCACTGAACGCTTTGACTGCACACTCTAGGGTTTCTTCTCTTCCATCTTCTCAGTCTGCTCTGAAGTAGGGTGACCGGACAGGGGGTGAAAAATCGGGACAGGGGTGGGGGGTATAAGAGCCTATATAACAAAAAGACCTCAAAATCAGGACTGTCCCTATAAAATCAGGACATCTGGTCACCCTACTCTGAAGTATCTCCAGTCTTATCTCTCCCCCTCTGCCTCCTGGTCCCTCCCCCAGCCCAGTCCCGTTTCCCCTCTGGTGTCTAATTTCCTTCACCTTTTTTCCTTTCTCCCATCTCTGGAGCCTTCCGGAAAATGGCTGCAGTGTGGGAGGCTGGGGGTCAGTGAATGTAGAAACCGGAAGCAGAGCACCAAAGAAGGAAGCCAGGAGAGATGGTTGCAGCTGCCTAGCAACAGGAGCCACAGGAGCACCTGACACAGGAATAATACTGCTCCTAATGAAGTCTGGCTAGTTATAAGTGATTTCATGAAGATGGCTAAAGTCAGGCTTGTGTAAACATGGCTGTGTAGCAAAGATATGCTGCCTACACTTGAAAATCATCCAGTGATTTTAATTTTACAGCGCCCCCTGCTAAATATTCATATTTCAAGAAAGTCATGTCAGGCTATTCCACAGGAAAGGAACCAGGCAAAGAAACTAATAACCCTGCTTTCATAAAGTATTTATTTTTTATTTGAAAACATTATACAGGCATTACATTGCCACAGCCAGTCCATATAGGAGCATGCAAATATCAAAACAGAGAAAGGTTTGTTCAGCTTGGTGCAGGAGTTTGGGGTTGGAGTGTTTTTGTTTGGTTGGTTTTGGTTCATATTTCCATTTGCAGTGCCAAGATTAGTGTGCTTAATTATGACATTTAACAATAAAATCCTACCCATGGGGTAAAATTTATATTTGTACCTAGCTTGGGAATACTAATTTTTTTTAAAAGGGAAAGAAAACAATACGACACGCTTGTCAAAATGTTAATAGCACACGTTAGCAATATCTAAACTATACATTGAAACTTTTCCATATGACACAGTGGTGCAAAATTTTCAATTGCTTTGTCTATTGTTGTTGTTGTGTATTTAAAAAGTTTATAGCTGGGGAAAAAAAGACAAGTTCTGATTCCCAGTGCAAGTTTCCACCCAGTAGCAGAAAATTACATCAGCCTTGCTAAGGGCCACTCACTGCCAATGGGTAGTAGAGGCTCAGTTTTTTCAAGGAAACTGGTGAAGTCCTAATTCAACCAGTAGAGTCGCTGCCAGTTGGATAGCTGAACCTTGCTGGTGTCCACAGAGGTCTGGAATTGCAGGAAATGAAACATCTAGAAATAATAGTTTTCCCTGCTGGACCTCAGCTTTCATTCAGAGTATTTGTAAAGCTATACCACTATTTTCCTTTGAGGTCCATCCATTACTGGCAAATTGGAACAATTCAACACATCCTCTTTAGCTGGAGCCCATTAAACAAAATAAAACTAAAATAAGAAATAAAATAAAACAACCCCATACTAAGTTATCCCAGTGACATGAACCTCTTCATGTGCAAGAACACACAGGATGGTTGTTGAGTGCACAGGGCATATGTGAACAGTTGCAATTTATTTTCATACAATTAAGTCATTTAAGATATCCGATAACAATTATCTCAGATGGCACCTCTTAGCCATCAGTTGATTTCAAACCCTTATATGTATAAACTCCTGGGTCAGTGAGCTGACCTGGATATGCCTTCGATCCAGTTGTTCCTAGTAAGACTTTAATAAACATCTACAAATTATTGTAATAAAAATGAGAGAAGAGGGAGAAAAAGACTACAGACATTTGGCTTAGAAAATAAATACTAAGAATGAAGTAAACCAAAACAATTATGCAAAATGAAGGAATGTAAACATGAAACAAACATGCACACATACACTCCCAGTCTTCAAAGGTCTCAAGACTAACATGGGAATAATGCTCAGAGAAAGGTATTTAATTGGTATAAAAGGTAGCAAAAAGACTGGGAGATGACAGGTGCCCACCAGTGCTTTTCAGGGTACCTGAGAGAACAATGACAGTTGTGACGAGAACATACTGCAGGGGCTTGAACTATACAGTGACTACACAAAGCCTATGCACCAATTAAGCCCTGATTTGAGGACTTCAGTGATTCCTTGGTCTTGTGCTGGCCCTCTGCACAAGGGTGAATTGACTGGTCACCTAAGTCCCGCTTAAAACCTATTTTGAGGTCTTAACTGGGAATTGAGAGGTCCAGCAAACAGGGATTAATGTGAAAAATCTTAGTGTTGCCAACTCTTGTAATTTTAGAGTGTGAATCTCACAATATTTGCAGTTTCTCTTAAAGCCCCAGATCCTGGAGTCACGTTATATGAAAACCTCACCTTTTTTTGTTTTTTTGGGGGGTTTTTTTTTTTGTTTGTTTAAGTTTCCAGCCCTTATGGTTGCAGGGAAAAGCTTGAAAACATGACCACTAAAAGTTCCCAACCAGAAGTAAAAAAATAAAAAGAACCCAGCATTTTGTGTGTGTGTGTGTGTAAATCTCATGATTTCTGAACACGACTGTGTGTGAGGGGGGTTGACAATATTACAATCCCCTCTTTTTCAACTGCAGTGGGATCATAGAGGGCAGCATAATCATGATGAGATGGACTGTGTCTCTCTTCCTCATCAACAGGAAGAATGAGATTAAACAGATAGTCAGTAATTTATTAGCATATTGGCACGTCACCATTTTTATACTTGTATGTAAACTTCCCTCAGGCTGCTTCAGAGAAGTCCTTTTTATAGCTTTGCAGAACAGGACTATAAGACAATTGTTACTTCAGCAGAAATCCATCCTGCTTGGTTGATTTGCATGGCCTTTTCCAATCTCAAGAGTGTGCAGTTTCTTTTTCTCATAGAAATAGGTGAGTTGTATTTTTTTTTTTACATAAAGCCCTACGTTTTCATTTAAAACTGACTTCTTCAGAATAATGTAATTCAACTAAAATACATTTCATATGCCCACCAGCAGAAAATGCAGCAATTTACCACAACCTTGCTGCACACCCTGTTTTCCAATACAATGAATATATAAAAGCTATTATTATAATATGTCCTACTTCCTTGGCTCCTTTTTTCTGAAGATCTTAAAGCACTTTAAAAAAAATGTAGTCCCACAATACTCCTGTGAGGGAGGTAAAGAGTTACTATCCCTGTATATACAAATTAGGAAACTAAGCCACACAGAAGTTAAATGACATGTCTAAGATCACACAAGAGGTCTGTGGCAGATCTGTGAATAAAACTGAGCTCTATCCTATTCTTTAAACACAAGACTATCCCTCCTTTCCTTAATTTTAAGAGGAAAGTGGACTGAGGCTGTATGAAGCAATGACTTTTGTCTTTCACTATGCTCTTAAAAGGGCAAAAAAAATCAAGACAGGCTACAGATTTGCAAGGTTCTGCTTCAGATTCAATAGAAGTGTTTTAAACGCTCCACATTTCTGATGAGTTTCCTGCAGCAGAAATACAGCGTAGAGCACATCCTTATTTCAGAGGGACTGTCACATTCCCTGGTGAATATCAGAAAACTGCTGAATTCTTCTACTTTTGTAGACAAATGAAAAATAATTGGCTACACCTCTCTGGCATGAATACCATCATGCTGCTGCAGTACCACCAGCAGATGGGTCAGTCTTATTCTTAATATTCATGAGATCACTGCATTATCATACTAATATTTATGATTGTGGCACAAGAAGGTTCTAATGAAAAATTTACATATTTCCAGATTAGCATGGTTAGAAAAAGGAACTCAAAGCCTCCTGTACCACACAGGACTGAGAACTGGAATAGTAGAAGGCTCCTGAACATGCACTTAGCATTGAAAATAAGTGCCCTGGTCTGACTGATATATCATTACCAATGAGAGCTACAATATGTAGGAAAATAGAAAATGAAAATTTGTTACAGATTTAATTTTAAAAATAAGAAATTTGTTCTGTTTTGTTTCTGCAGGTTAGACACAGCCACAGAAATGTAATTCCTCTGTCACCTGGTACAGAACCTCAGCCACCAGGAAACCCTCCATTAAACATAAAAAGGTCAATGCTTCAATAATTCACTTCTGTAAATATAGAAAGGCTAAAATGCTCATTTTACACCTATTCCTAGAATAGAGACTGATATTGTAAATTGTCCCTCCCCTGCACTCATAGCAGAGATTACATATAAAGTGGGCTACCAGACAGATAGTACAGCTGAACTCATTAATCCTTTCTCCCAAAAGATCCAGGTGCTACCAAAAATGCATCAGGGTGTAGCTACCAGAAGTATCCCTCCTATTTGTGCAAAACAAACACATTTTAAAAAGAGAGAAAATAACAGTGATTGTACAAGTGGACTTGCTGTAAAAATGTGGCTTTTCCACAACTCAGTGTGGCCTTGGCAAAGTATCACACAATAGGTGCAAAAATACCCTTTTGATTTCTATGTAATTTCAGCTTGTATTTTGAATATCTTCACAGATCATTTGATAGTGAGCGATTCACACAGAGCATTCTGTTGAGACCAGTATAATGCTAACACCCTAAATAAGGGACTGGCACCTCTTTGCAATGTACACCCAGTGACAATTAGTTTGTAACTTTTACAAGCTTTCCCTATTGCTACCTTGAAGCTCACCTGTGTAACTGTACCCAGTAAATACCTTTCTCTATGTACAATACAGGGATCATGGATATACAAACTCCACTGAAATCATCAGTGGGAGACAAGTGCCTGGGTTTAGGCAACTCTGATGTGAGGCTCCTCTTCTGTCTCCTGGCCTAGACTGGTATACGTTACTGAAGGTTCCAGCTGTCCGGTTGCTGGCAAGTCTACAACAGGTCCTGAAGGGTTTCGAAACTGCTTATACACCCGTGGATCCTGGGCTACGTACGTAGAGGTGGAGGAGTACAGCACCAGCCCAACAAGGATAGTGAAGAATGACAGCAGATAAAGTCCTGAAAACTAAACATAAATAAGAGTTAAGTCATTAGAAAGTTGCACTGGTTATTCTGTGCTCACGACGGCTAGTGGAAAATTGCAGGCACAGATCCTTGTTTTTATATGCACAGCATAGAGCACAGTTAGTCGTTCCTTGTTTGACTGTAGATTTTGAGGAGCTACTGGAAGTTTGTTTCCATTACTCGTGCCACCTATTTTATAAAAAATATGAGTGCAATTCTCCTGCGGCCCTAGCAATAGGTAAATATGAGTTTGTTAACTGGGACTCAGAAGATCTGGGTTTTGTTCTCAGCTCTGACACTTATCTGCTATATGACTTTGCCCAAGTCACTTCCTCTCTCTGGAGTTCAGTTTCTCCTTCCGCAAAATAGGGATAATACTATTTACCAATATTTGTAAAATGTTTTGAGATCTATGGATGAAAGGTGCAGTATAAGTATGAGGCTTTATTGTTTTCAAATCATGTGGCCTTAAAGTATAACACACAGTCAGTGCTATATAAATAGCAGTGATACCATGAATTTAAAAAAGCATTTAAAAAGTACCCTTAGAAAATATATTTTTAGTAAAGGCTCTTTTGACATTTACTTAACCACATATTGGTGCCTGGTGGTACCAGTATTTATTCACCTATGTGAAAGCCCAAGGTAGTTCACTTGCAGCAATAAATAGTGTGTGTGTAAGCTGAATTCAGAAAGCAGATAATAGGGCTGCACATGCTTTAAAGTGATTTCAGAAAAGTCAGAGACTTTAGCTTTAAGAATCCCTGGGCTGACTTCAAAAGGTTGAAATGTACACACAGAAGATCAGATATTTATCCAAAGCTTGAGTCTGCATAATCTGATAGGCAATTTCACAAGCCCAGACCTTCTCTTGAGTTTTCTGATATATCCTGCTTCAGATTGGGCACACAAATAGCCTTTCTGGCAATATTTCAGCACTTGCAGGTGAGGTAGAGGCAGGAACCCAGAAGTCCATAGGAATTAGAAATAAAGTATTTGATCCTTAGTCTCCTGTAAGGTCACTGTATGCTGCTGGAACAGCACAAAGTGACCTTAAAGCTGCCCTAAAGGGGAAGCTGAGGCTTTCCTCAGCAATGGACGAATGTTTGGATGGTGGGAAGGCGGCATAAACCGTTTTATGTTGTTTGCTTCTCCCACATCAGCAGAAGGAATGTGAATTATACCAGAGCTGGAGCACAATGTACTCCGCTAATTTCCAGCCAGTGGAATGGTCCCTAGTGGTCCATTCTAGTTGGCATAAGTTAGAGCAGCCATGTGGCCACTCCAGCTTGTCTAGGATCAAAAGAGAAGTAAAGGGGGCTTAAAGTCACCTTTATGCTCACCACAAGCTGTACCAACCAGGAACCCAATAAAGGAAGAAAAATTAACTTTCGGAATCTTTAAACAGTACACGCATAGAAATGGGCAAAGATGTGATGTGAGGGTACATGTGCACCCCTAATCAACTTCCCCAAAGCAATCAAAAGTGATCTGAATTCAAGACTCACCAGAGGACAAACTGCATGGAGCAACTTGGTAGGTCAAAGGATATAGAACTGATTTTGTATTTAGCAAGAATTCTAAAAGTGCAAGTGTTCAGCTGTGGTCAGGAATACAAGAATGAATAAAAATGCCAACAGCTAACTACAATCGTAACCAATTATGGGCTACCTCAAGAGGTGGTTATATTATTCTGAACAAAAGGGAGCTGCAAATCTGTTCTCTAATCCTAGCTGACTATGGGACTATGACAAGTGCCAAATGTGTTTCTCTTGGTTCATTTAGATGCAGTGCTTGAAGGCCAGACTAAGTTAAATTATTCAAGCAAGAGCTTCAGCAGTTCTGCCCCACTTCTTTATGCTTGTAAGGAAATCATTTTGTCAAATGCAAATTCTCTTTAAAGGTGCAAACTTTTTCCTGTTATTAATTTGCTATCACAGCACTGAGCCACAGAGTTTGTGTCCAACATTCCTACTTGTGATTAATCCTGCTGCATTTGGCATTTTTCAGAAATAGCCCCTCTGAAGGGCTTCTGAAAATGCTAGAAGCATAACCCCTGATGATAAGTCTGTATCTGCTGTCATTTTCCACAGCGAGAGTGTAATAAATACACTTCAGAAGGGAATGCACCATAATGGGGAAAGTTTAAAGATGTCAGGTCTGTAGCTGGAAAGAAGACAGGGCTCTGCTTTTCGTCAGTCATTAATTGCTTTTTTCCAAGCATGTCACCAGGTCTTCACGTGTCATCTGGCAGTGTGATCTGATGTAATCACCCAGCCAAAAACACAATGCAGAATGCGAGAGCTAGTCTGCTGAAAGATTCCTTCCATGTGTCACAAGCCTGCAAGGAGTGGTTGGGCAGAGATCTCCCCCCTGTGGTAATCAAACCCCAAGTCAAATCGATCCAATGTTTTTTTCCTCTCCGTTTCATTTTAATTTTCACTCCCTGAGAATGTCTCAATTCTCTCCTTTTCTCCTCATACATAAATTTTGGCACCTCTTGGCTGTAGCAGAGGGTCTGCTTTTCAGTCTCAAATAAGCCCAAACTAAAATCCCAGGCACAAACTTTCCCAAACGGTTTTAGGGTGGAAGGAAGAGTTTCAAGAATCTGAGCCCTGATCCAACAATCCGGCTAGTCTCTACTGTGGTATTAGGCTGAACGAAAACCCCAGGTCCAATTACCATCCAGACTTCAGGAGTTTTACACTGGGTTGGCAGTTGAATTTCATTTTTATTGCTGCTTGCTAGGTCAAGACACCCCTGAGCACCAGAAACTGAAGAAGGGAAGCAGTGGGGAGGACAGATGTCTGTGTCCCCAATCCCATATTCTGCAAGGGTCTATAAGGCCCCTACTCACTGCCAGATGCCTGGCTCCTTCACTGAGTTGCCAGTGCAATTGCCAGTCACAGGGATAGTGGGGAAAAGCAGCTCAGGGAGCAACAGCATCATACAGATTGCAGTTGCCTTAAAAAAATGGAGCTGAGCACAAAACTGTCTTGGCGTGAGGACCCCTACCGAGAACTCATCCCTACACTATGGAAGCTAGGGTGACCAGACAGCAAATGTGAAAAATCCGGACGGGGGTGGAGGGTAATAGGAGCCTATATAAGAAAAAGACCCAAAAATTGGGACTGTCCCTATAAAATCAGGACATCTGGTCACCCTAATGGAAGCTGTGGGGTACAGTTATCCAGGAGTAAGGAGGGAGAGACAAAGAGGATGAGGGGAGAGGTGAGAGAGAAGACAGCTGGGGGTGGAGGTAGGAGAGGAAAGGTAACAAGGGAAATGGGAGAGAACAGGAAATTTTTTAAATTACATAATATTTACAAAAATAAAGCCTATTTTGACTGCATCCCTCTCCCCACTTTCACATTGGTGTCTGGGGACAGGATGAAGGAAACAAACTAACAAGATGTGCCTCTCCTTGGCTTATATGCTGTTATCCTCTCCCCGCGCCTTTGGTCTGCTTTTGTCATTTGAAAATGGTAAGCTCTTCGGGGCCAGGGTTATCGCTGGGGCTATGTTTACACCGTGCCACGGCATGGACTATAGGGGAGCGCACCAAGTGTTGCGCACTAACTTCCCCAGGAGGACGCTGCTGGTGCAAATGAAAAGGTGCCTTGTTCACGTTAACACAGTCCTGTTGAAAGAGGATTATGTTAACACGAACTAGGTACCTTTTGGGTCACACCAGCAGCGCTGACACGGGACAGTTAGCACTCAACACTTTGGTGTGCGCTGCAATTCAGAGCCCTGTAGCCCACACGGTGGCAGAGCGTACAAAGGTCTGAGTGTCTAGATTACTTAGTGCAATGAGGCCCTACAACAACAAAATATAATAATAATTGTTAACACTTTCCTGGTTAGAAACAAGAGGATACAGGCTAGAGCTGCATTTGTTTATTTTCTCTCTTTTCTATCATAATCACTTTCTTAGAAGTTTAGTCACTGGCTCTCTGCAGTTTTAAGGTGATAAAAGTTGTTCATAGCATTGCTGGGGTCTCAGCCTATTTTATTCAACGGAGGTAAAGCAAATATATATAGCAGGCTAGTGAGGGAGAGCAATCGTTGATTATCGGATAATTTTTCCAGCAGCTTTTGGGCCTCATCCAAAGCCCACTAAAATCAACGGGAATCTTTCAATTGATTTCATGGGCTTTGAAATCAGCACTCTGAAGAGATTAAGACAGACTATGTTAATCAAATGAAAATTGACTACAAATGCTATTCACTGTGCAGAGTTTGTTAGATTCCCCAAATGAAATATTTTTGCTTTACTGAAACTTGTATTCACTGAAGTACTCTACTGCTGTGTCTGTGTAAGGAATTTTTATCTTGACCCGCGAACCTCATTTCCTTTAGAATAAGTGTTAATAGACAGTAAAAGAAACAACTTCAAAAATAGCTGTTCCATAAACTATTCTAAAAAATGGAGTTTGAGTGCATCATTTTGTATTGCTACCCTACATATAACTGAACTAGAGCTCTCAGAGGTTGTGTAATTCCTCTTTTGGGGTGAACCATTGCTTCAAAAAGATATTGCTGTTCATTTTTCTAACTTATCTCTTATTTTCTCTCATCTATGTCTCATAAGCCTAGCAAAAAATATAAAAATTCGGGCTGTTGATTAATTGCAGTTAACTCACATGATTAACTCAAAAAAATTAATCGCAATTAATCACACTGTTAAACAATAAAATACCCATTGAAAATTATTAAATATTTGTGGATGTTTTTCTGCATTTTCAAATATATTGATTTTTATTACAACACAGAATACAAACTGTACTGTGCTCACTTTATATTAATTACAATTATTTGCACTAAATGCATTTGCATTAAAAATGATAAACAAAAGAAATAGTATTTTTCAATTCACCTCCTACAAGTACTGTAGTGCAATCTCTTTATTGTGAAAGTGTAACTTAAAAATGTAGATTTTTTTGTTACATAACTGCACTCAAAAACAGTGTAAAACTTTAGACCCTACAAGTCCACTCA